CCGAATGGGGTTTCACAGGAATTTTGTTAAATGGGTCATGGCTTGTATTACAGACCCAACTTTTTCTTTCAATATCAATGGCAGTAATAAGGGTTTTGTGTCAGCTTCTCGAGGTATTAAACAGGGAGCTGAATTGATGTCTGCAAGGATTAGAAGAGAAGTAGAAAGAGGAAGCTTTGTAGGTTTGAGATTATCAAGAGATGGGCCCACTTTGACACATCTAATGTTTGCGGATGACACATTAATTTTTTGCAAAGCTGAGGAAAGGCAAATCAGGTGTTTATTGCGAATTTTGCAGCATTTTAAAGAGTTCACTGGCCAACAAGTAAATATGAGCAAGTCCACCATTTTTTTCAGCAGAAATACCCCAAGGGAGATTCAGAACAGAATTTGTGATTTATTACCTGGCATTCAAAGACATTCATCAACAAGGTATTTAGGTCTACCTATGGGCATTGGTAGATCAAAAAAGGAGGCTTTTGATTTTGTTTTAAAGGCTGTGAGGAGTAGAATTCAAAGCTGGAAAAATAAATGGCTCTCCACTGCTGGTAAGGAAGTTTTGATAAGAGCTGTACTTAATGCATTACCAGTCTTTTCTATTTCTTGTTTTGTATTGCCTGTTGGACTGTGCAGAGAGATATCACAGCTATGTGGGCAATTTTGGTGGAGCAAGGGAACTGATTTCCAGAAAGGCTTACACTGGGTGGACTGGAATAAATTAACTTTGGCAAAAATTCATGGCGGTTTGGGATTTTAGGATGTGCAATTGTTTAATATAGCAATGATAGCCAAGCAATTATGGAGGCTACTGAGTGAGCCTAACAGGCTAGTGAGCAGAGTGCTTAAATCTAAGTATTATCCTAACTGTTCCTTATTTGAAGCACAGAAGACACAGAATTCTTCATGGTTATGGGCTAGTTGGCTTTAAGTGCTCAAGATTTGTGGTCTGTGGATGAGGGTGGAGGTCAGAACAGGTCGAGACATTAACATATGGGATCAACACTGGATTCCAGATAAATTAGGGCAAGAAGTGCAATTGTTACCAGGAGTGGCCAGAGGAATTCAGAAAGTGAGGGATTTATTGACAGAAGATGGAACCCAGTGGGATGTAACCAAACTCAAAGCAACTTTTACTCCTGAGTTCTGTAATTCTATTCTTACAATTGATACATTGGATCCCAATTCTGAGGATATATGGGTGTGGAATCTACAGAGGAAGGGTATGTTCACAGTGAAATCCACATACTCCAAATTAATCACTAATAAGTTTCTAAGACAAGTGTCAGCTCAAACAAGTAAGGAGTTGAAGATTGATATGAGATGCAGAGAAAGGACATGGAAGCTTAAGGTTATGGGCAAAATCAAACATTTCATATGGAAGTGTTGTAATAACACTTTGCCAGTAAGCACTAACTTAAGGATGAAAGGAATTCAGGTGGATCATATATGTAGGATGTGTGGAGAGGAACAAGAGACTGTAGTACATGTTCTGTTTAAATGCAGGTATGCTGAGACAGTCTGGAAATTAGCACCAGTTCAATGGAGTGGACCACAGGGCAATGAATCTTTTCATACATGGTGGAGGCAAGTTTGTACATTAGATAAAGGGGAGACTTCTGAAGCACGCTTACAATTATCCACTTATATTTTATGGTGGCTTTGGAAGATCCGAAATTTATAGATGTTTGAAGGAGTGCAAAGATCAGCATATAGTGTGGTTCAAGCAACACAGAGGGACTGGGGTGATTTTATCATGCATAATAAAAATTAGATTATATTTGCAGTTAGAGATTACTTTGAGATGTTTTTTTGTGTGTTCCTTTGTTTTTACTTGCTGTTAGTATTTGTGGTGTTCTGTAGTTTTGTTAGTTCAGGTCTTGTTGCCAAGGGTATAGGTTCGATGGAGATAAATCGCTGTACTCTTGTGTTTTTATTTAGAGTTACTGGGTTGGTGTTTTCAGGTTGTCTAGACCACTTGTAGTGGTGCTCCCATATTGAGGATTGTACTATTTTGAACTTTGTTTTAGTAATGAGAAATTTCTGTCGTT